GGGCATGACCTTCATCGGCCATTCATGACAGAGGACGCTCATCGTCCCCACCAAGCAAAGACACTCGACGTCCTTAAATAGATCGAAAATACACATCATGACTGGGTCCCTCTTCGTCTACGGCGAAAGCCACACAACGGCCAAGACGCTGAGTACCCACGACGGCCATAAAACAATGAACCGGGCCAAAAGGTGCCCGTAACGGCTAAGAAAAAGGAGGGGTCCCACAACGGCCAGAAAACGTCAGAAGCAAAAAATCTACTCTCCTCACCTCGTCTACGTCTCAGCTTAGAGAGTGGGGGACTCCTGATGGAGTATATGGGCCTGGACCCCATGGCCCACATACTCGGAAGAACAGAGGGTACCACGATCACCTAGTGGGACCCTCGTCGGCCAGATGGCCTCCATCGGCCAGAAAGAAGTCTACTCAGAATACGGTCCAGGAGCTAGGAGAACCATGTGACCTCGTCGGTCGGGTCTTCGTCGGCCATGCCCTCGTCGGCCGTGCCCTCATCGGCCACGAGCGGCCCCCAGAATAGGATCTTTTACTTAATTATTTCTACATCCCTTGTACCCCGCCCAATAGTGGCCCTATTGTAAATGGGCCTCCCAAGCTCGAGACTTGGGAGCTCAGCCCTAATTTTTCCTATAAATACTCCCTCTGGGAGTAGTTGTAAGGGTTCACAAATTCATTAATACAGAGCAAATATAGAACTTCTCTCTCTAGCTCTCCCTTCTCTCTAGAATTATAGTCTATCAAGTAGTTATGAGTATTTTAAGATGAATATTGGTGATTGATTTATACTTTGGAATAATTGTGAGAATATTTGGTGGTTTATGTACATTGGTATTTTGGAATTTTATGGTTTGAAATGAGTACTTATATTTGAAATATTAATATATTACATATGAATTGTGTTATGAGAAAATTTTGTATATATTGTTTTACTTATGATATATATAAAATGTTTTGAAAAAGGTTTCCTCCAAAATGTTTTACAAAAATGTATCAAACGTGATTATTTTACGGGGTTGGGTGGGACTTACTAGCATTTCCGGCTAATTTTGTTTGTTTGTGTTTTTCCTTCTGTACATGATTTTGTACAGGTGGTGGTTTGATCGTGTTGAAGTTGAATTCGAGAGAGTTTCCGCTAGAAAATATAATTAGTAAATCATTGTGTATTTTAATTTCAAGAACTCTAGTTAATTAATATTATTTTGAGTTAAATTATTTGAGAAGTGGTCTACCTGTGCACTCGGTTAGGTTAGAACCGAACGTGGCGGTAACGCCCCTATTTCCCTTGTTTTTCCGCTGCACAATTCTGATGTTTTCAAATAAAGTTAATAAATAATGTTCTATTTAAAGGTATTTTTGGGGGAGAAATTTGAGGGTGTTACAGAAGGATTTTTGAATTTGCTATATTCTCGCTAAATGTGCAAATGAAATATGTTTGGTGGCTAAGTGTGTTGTTTGTTTTGTTTTATTCCTTCCTTTTGCTTTGATATCCATGTGTTTACGAAAAGTCCATACATAATGATTCGGGTAGCTAAGTGTCATATTAAGTTACAATACAAAATTTTGACTATTCGAACATGTTTAGGTTAGAATGTTTTTGTTAACACACAGTTAGACTAAGATTTTAAGAATTAATGATTATATTTGCATATGGACATGTTTAATTTTGAAAATTACATATTTGTTCTCACATGATCAAATGTGCATGCTTTTGCTTTGCAATTAACTTTATATTTGGACCATCCCTCTACAAATGTGTTTGCATTTTTCGAGAAAAAAAATATCTCTATCTAATTACATGTTTTTGTATTTGTTACTATTCGATATGAATCTTATCCTATTATTATGGTTATTATAGTCATCTTGATTGCTTTATTCCCCCCATACTATCCGAGCTACAAATATTTTCATCATTAACTTTGTTTATCAATTTCTAACAAATTATGTATACAAATAGTTTAATCAAACTATCATGCATTCACTCATCCTAACCCGATGAAGTAATATGTCTACAATGTTCTTGGGCATTTACACGAACGCGCATCACACATTGCTAAACTAGTTTCTCTAAATAAAAGCAAAATTGTAACAATTGAAGTTTAAAGTTTGAATTTCTAAAATATGATTTTCTCTTCTTATTCTACCCTTTCATTTGTCATTTTTAATAGGATTTTTAAAATAATAATAATAAAAGAATGCCAAGTTGAAAAAATATGTCATCATGATGGCAATTTTGAAAAAAAAGTTGAATGTTTTCAAAAGGTAAAAAATGTCATCATCCTCATGGCATTTTCATAAGAACTATAATTTCACCCGTGCGATATGCACGGATCAAAATCAAGTTTAGATTACTTGGTTAGACTGTTGGTACTCAGAATCTGAAATAGTGAGTTTTCAAAATTATTCTAACTCGTCTGGCATAGGTTTAAATTTGTAAAGTTTGTATGGCTAAGATAACAAAAAGCATTGATGACCGCAACTCAACTAAGGTTGTATGTAAGCACCCAAAAAATGCTAGTGACAGGTTGTTCTTAAGCCTCTAAAAGACTGAAATTTAATGGCTAAATGGCTTGGTAACCTGCACGGTTTATATCACTTGGCTGATAAAAACAGATTGTGAAGAGGCCATCTGGTAGCTTCTTTATGAAGTATTTTTTCACCTTCTGGTAGCATTAATTTGTGTCTCCAACTTTATATCAATATATAAACATCAACAAATGCTTTTATTAACTAAACACATGTATTATATGCTATGGGTGCATTAAAGAAGATCCACATAATAGTAAATAGTGAATATGTTAATTAATGACATACCTCTTGAAAAACCTGCCTTCACATAGTGAGAAGAATCAATAGTGATAAATGTAAGTGGTCGAAAGATGCTTAAAAATGGACTTATTTGAAGATTTAATATTGGAAGTTTGGGTAGCACTTAGATTCAAGTATATATGCCGAGAAAATATGAACATAAATTCGAAAAAATAGTAGTAATAATTCTAATAAAAATAGGCTTGTATTAACTAAACACATGTGTTATATGATGTAAGTGAACAAAAGATGTTTCAAAGAATGAATAATATAGGTTTAATGATGAAAAAAATCCGGACCTTTAAAAAGGTTAATGACTGAATGAAATACATGTTCAACCTCTGCCTTCACATACCTGTTGTTAGTCAAGAGGCAATAGTATTCTTAGTTGTTAGTTAGAAGTAAACAAAGTTATCATAATATTACACTAATCTCTCATTCATTCCAAATTAATGGTAGAATCTGAAAATAATATGAAAGCAACTAAACTCATTCAGAAAGAATTTGAAAACAAACCTTATGCAATTTCCAGATAATCCCATCAATAAGGTAATTTTATGATTTCAAAAAAATAATGACCTAGATGATGGAGAAACTTAATTTAATCAATCAGAATTGAAATCCAAAACCTTGATGAAAATCAGAATTTGAAAACCTTTAAACAAAATCTAACCTGAACTCCGGATTTCGTAAAGGGACCGTTGGCCACCGCTGACTGCGTCGCGCCGTGTGACCTGCTGCCTGCATCAGCTCGGCAGCCCACGTACTCGCCCAGGCAGCCCGAATGTACTGCTGATCGCGTCGGTGGCCTCACTTACAGCCCAAATCTCCCACACCGGCCACTCGCCTGCTGCCTTGCTCCACAGCCTCCGCACCTCCGATCCTCTGCCATTCACCAATCTCAATCTCTCTCACACTCTCTCATGCTCTCATTCAGGCCACCCGCCTTGTCGTTTCTATTTTTTTACTCCGTATGACATATTGACATAGACCAAAAGAACTGTGAAAAAACTAAAGTTTGTTGAATTCCTATGTTGCAGGCCCGCAGTACATTACTCTAGTAGAATAGCGTGATTACTTTTATTACTAGTCTTTCACTGGTGCGTTGCACGGGATAGCAAACCCATTACACAGTTATTGAAAACTATTGTAATGTGATATTTAACTATTAATCTTGAATAATTTTTCCACCAATCATACCATTGGACTACTACATGCTCTAATAACTCACAAGCAATTTTGAAAAGCCATTTTATTTTCTATCTTACCTAAAAACCTGTAAACTCAAACCTGGAACTAAATTTCTAGATGGAGGGGGCATTGTATTAGCTCTTTCTATAAATGGAGGTTAAACTCATAATCATAAGACCCATGTAGTTGTAGGTTCACTAAAAAATATCATATCGATTCTATTAACTAAAACATTACAAAATCCAATAAGATTTTTGAATAACATAACTAAGATGAATTCATTTACAATCTTTGTTATTAGTGAAAAATAATTTGGAAGAAATCAAGTGAATGGTGACTCTCTTATCTCCTAAACATATTTTCTCTAAATTTTATTAAAAAATCACGCACCTCAAGTTCTTTTTAGGTATTTTGAGGGAGGAATAAATAAAAGACCTCTCCATCAGACCCTGTGCTAATCAAACACAGAAAAAGTGCTATCTAACTAAAATGTTAAAGACTCATCTTTATTAAACATTTTGCTAAGTGGAGTGGAAAACTATTTTGTAACTAAAGTGATATACAAAACATAGATCTTTTTATATAAAAAAATGTGTTATGAAATAAATCTAAAAGAGAATATCTAGTGACGCAAATGTCCTTCACTTTTAGGTGGGATATTTAAGGGAGTTAATTGAGTATATATAGATAGACTACGGACAAAGTTTGTCCATTAAGAATGTTTTTAATTGAACTGAAATATTATGATCTGATCTGGTGTGATCTGATAGATATTTGGTCTTTATGTAATTTGCAACTATTAAAGTCTGATCTAATCTGATATGGTCGTAGTCTGAAATAAGTTCAAGTAAAAACAATTTTTTTGGTACAGAAAAAAGGTTTATAGTTTTTTGAAAAGCCCAATATGACCACAAAATGCTCCAACTTCTTTATTTCATCAATGGACAAGTCCATATGATAGGAACACAGAAATTTGAAGGTAAATTGAAGTAGATTGAGATGAAATTGATGAAAACTGAAAAGAGATAAAACAACGGAGACATTTTGAGTGGTCGCACTCCCAAGACCCCGGTCCTTCCTAATTTCTGCCTGCCTATACTACTTCCCCCAACTCCTATTTATTCTTTTCTATATGGGCCAGCCCACTTGCTATTCAATTCCGGGCCCAAACCCGTTTTATTATACACTCATAAAAGACTATATTATTCTTATCACTAACATTATCTAGGTCCCTATCATTACTCCCCTTTGAAACCACCTTGTCCTCAAGGTGGGGAGTAAGAAACAACCATGTCATTCAGTTTCTTCCTCACGCCTCTGCCTTCCCAATACTTCAGCTCGGATTCATGAAGTTGCAAAATCTTCCCATTTGGACTGAGAGCTTCAGCAATGAGAAGGCCACAGTGATTGGTATTGGTAGTAGCTTACTCAAGGTTGTTTGCACAAGCAGATGATGGACATGCAAAACTCTCATTCTGCTCTTGATAACCATTAATCATCATCTTGATACTCTCATTCTGCTTCTCTTCAATTCAAGCAGTTCTTTTAAGGTAAGAAACAATATCAACTTCTATTTCCTGGACTGTCTCATACTTTCGATGCAAACTTTGCATAAAGGATATACAGGTTGACTGCATTCTTTTGCTCTTGTCTATGAGCTTTTTCTTCAGCCTCTTTTGAGTTATGGAATGATTGAATAGAAAACTGCCCATCAATACGAACATAGCTTATTCTTTTCTCAGAAACAAACTGCTGCACTCCATCAAGAATCTTAGGATAGAATATGCTTTCTACCACATCTTCACAGCTCCCTAGTGCAGTCTCACCATCCTCTAACTGGTTTTCAGATTTCAGGCTACTGAGATATATTCCCCATCCACCATCATTTGTACTCTGAAGTAATATCATATAAGAGCTATAACTCTTGAATCCGTCTCTTCCTTTCATCCAATTTGACATGGCTATCAATGTCAAGTTTGGATTCCGTACTTCCTCTCCTATCCATGCCAGAACTACTTTGAGTTCTGTCCATTGGAAGCTCAGTAGTGACCGGACCTCCCATATTACCTATATGGGTCTCATTAACCAGCAATTTTGTAATCAGAAACCACTGGGTTCTCCATTTCAGAACCAGCAATTTTGTCATCAGCGGACTCATATCCCAGGGCACTCGAGAAATGATTCACCACAGCAGATTTCTCCTCTCGTCTTTCATCGTCATCGATGAAGGTATCCTCAAAGAGAGGTTTCCGTGGATTGCCAGACTCCTGCGACTCAGACAACAATGGCGAACTGGAACCTCCTCCTGATCGTGTGCACCTTGAATTGAACTGCTCGCGTATGATTCAGAACAAAAACCATAATAATCAAATAACCTATCCGAAATCAGAAATCTTCCTGTACTATACTAAGTAATGAAAGAATTCACATGAAAGGCGCCAACCCTACAAATTGAGGCAAAAAAAGTTCTGAACATTAAATGATATTGGAGGGCTTATGTTGTAAAATAAGTGTTCTATATAGAATTGGAATATATGTATCGCAGGAACATATATAACATGTATGTATAATGAACAAAAACCCAATAAAAATGTGAGGTTAACAATATTCAAAGAAGAGTCATCATATTTATAGTAATACACACGAAAATGAAAATACAAACTGGGTTAAAACTCAACAAAATCGGCACAACAAAACTCAATATACTTTATTGCAACCTACGTACAAAGATTTTATAAAAGAAGGAATCCTGGAATTTTCCATGAAATCCCTAATAAATCAAACAAAAAATGGAAATAAAAAACTGAGACAAATTCCATGAAATCAGTACCAATAATATATGCATATTTGTTTCTTCACTTTTCTCTCAAATTGTCTAGAGATCTCCCAAAATTCTGATAGTTTGAAGAAGGGGTAGCAAATAAGGTATGATGAAGAAGAAGATAGAGGGAACCATAATTTATTTCATGTAATTTAAGAGGGGAAATTGAAAGTCAGTGAATAGGACGAAAGAAGAGTAGAAGATGGTTGGAAGATAGATGGGAATGAAGTTTCTGCATAGATCGAAACGATTCTGCATAGCCACCTCTAGAGACTCTCGAATGCTCTTGATTATCTCGATAAATGGAAAGGGAAAGAAATCCCGAGCAAGAATATACGAATTTGAAAGGAGTCCAAAATCCAAATAGTTGAATATGGAGGAAGCAAGATGCAATGTCAACAGTTAAAAGAAGAGCGGAGAAGATTAAGAGAATTACGGAAATACCATAAATTATGAGCGGGAAGAGACTTAGTTCACTTATTTAATATATAGATATAGATATAGATATAGATATAGATATAGATATAGATATAGATATAGATATAGATATAGATAGATTAGATAGAGAACACACATTTAACCAAGGGATAATTGTATATGGCTCGAGCCACCTTTACTTGCTTTTGACAGGACTCTTTTGAGCGGGAAAATTGTCAAAAAAATCACTTCTTTTTATATATAGATAGATGTGTCATTTTCTATACAAGATGGCTTTTCTTCGGCTATCGAAGTTGGTGGTGCGGGGAGGTGGATGATGCGGTGACACTGGCCTACATATTTTTAAATATTTTTAGGTATTTTAATGTATCTTTAAGACTTTTATAAATTTTTTAAAATTATTATTATTATTATTTTGATTTTATTTTATTTTATTCCCCCCCTGTTTTTATTACTAATTTACAATTTTGTTTTATTATTTTTTATATTTTTATTATAAATAAAAACATGATTTCCGTATTAATAAATAAATCTATTAGAATTTATAGGAAGGAGGTAGAACAAGAAGAAGGCATACATATTACTCCTATTTGAGAATAAAAATATTATAATCATAATTTTGCATTTAGGTCTACTATTAGTCCTATATAGGGCTAATAGCCGATGTTTTAAATTTGATTAAAAAATTGGATCTGAACAAATCTATTTAGATATCGTAAAGGTTTGTTGTATTTTAAAATGAGAAAAAGGTCAAATAAACCCTTTTTCTATTCCGAATCCATCACTTAAGCCCTTGTATCAAAAAAGAATCTTATCAATATGCTTACTTTAAAAAATGATCAAATTGGCCATTTTTCATTTTGACATGTAATATCAAGATTTTATATTAAAAGCTCAAAAAAATGTAAAAACGAGAAGAAATATAGAAAAAATTGCAAACATTTTCAGAATGTCATTGTAATTATTATTTTTTAAATATTGAATTTATTTGTAAAATCTACATATAGTTAAATGTTTTTTACGTTTTTATATTTATATTTTTTACATTTTTACTTTAGTTTTTCATTTTATGACTTAAGTTTTTTATTTTAACAGTTTTAAATTATTTACCTATTTTTACATTATTTTTGTATTATATTACTGATGGAGTATATGGCCCAGGAATCCCCGGCCCATAGACTCCTACTATTCTAAGGGAGGCCCAATAGGCCCAGGAAGCACAGCAGGCCCAAATCACAGCGCCCCAAGTACTGAGCAACCCACGTGGCACACTGGGGATGCCTTCGGCCCCCTGGCCGAAGGCTCCAAATTCTCACAGGATGGCCAACTCAAGCAAACAAAGTTACTGGGAGAAAAACGGCGAAAATCAGTAGCCCTCAGCACCTAGAGTCCTCGGCACTAAGGAGGTTCCCGGTACTCAGAGCCCTCGGCTAATCATCTGCAGCCGATGGCACCTTTCTCGACATAATATCCTCTCCACATGCGCCTGAATCACTGTACCAAGTACGACGTCACATCCAACAGCCGCATTTAATGCGGCCACATGCGAATGTCAGTGCCACCCCGTTGAGGTGACCCCTCGACCACCAGAATGATGACACATGTCCCCATCCGGCATTTATTACTACTATAAATAGCGCCCCTTTTTCCCATTTGCAATCCAAGCCAAAATCGCTCATTACATTCTCAGCAATACACTCTCTCTCTCTTACTTTTGCTCTGACTTCTCTCTAGTTACTCCCCGCAGTAACCCTTCGGATACATACCCCCGGGTAGACTATCCATCATTTGGTGCTTTCATTGAGAGATCGAATAATCAAGTAAGAAACCCTCCCCCTATCCAAACACAAAACACCTAGCGAAAATGGTGAGAACAACTCGTGCCAACTCCAAGAACGTTGAGGACAGGAACCTAGCCCTCGGCGAAGTCGACGTCCCCGAAGCCTCTAACAGGGCTCCCGGGGGCGGCGTCATCGCCGGGTTGGACCAGGCGGCTGTCGACCTACGCCATCAGATTCAACAGAATGCCCCCGATGCCCGCCTCGGCATCGAGGCCAAGAAGAAGGACCGGAGCGAGAACCAAGTTAGCCCTCCGGTCATCACTATCGACGTACAGTCGGCGTTTTCCGCCTTCATTCAGACGCTCACCCAGAATCGGGGTGCCTTTGGCACTTTGGTTCCCCTCCAACCTCAGGTCGGGGAGAATATCATGCCTCTCCCTCATCCACACCCCCTCGGGAACCCTGTCCCCCGGATTGGGAACGTCGAGGGGGTCGTGGCCCAAGATACGGCCTCCCAGGAAGTCCAATCCCGGGACCGCCACAACATGAACAAGGAACAGCCCCGTACCTCCGCCCTCGAGAGACTCGGAGGGGCGCAAGACCGCCGAGGGGTCCAAGACCGCCTCGGGGGGGGGGGGGGGGGGGAGGCGCTCCAGAGGCCTCAGGAAAGTGGCGGATCCGTCTCCAGGGCTAATGAAAGACGTCCCCTTCAGGACAACGGCAAGGCACCTCTCCATGCCGACGACGCCCGTCACCAAATCAACCAGGCCCACTCGGCCCATGTCCGTTCGCAGGGGGCGGAGGCCCTCCCGAAGGACCCCCAGGACGAAATCACTGCGGTCCTCCAGCGCCGGCTTGACGAGATGGAGGCTACCAAAGCACACGCCACCACTTATGCCCCTCATACAGACCTGAAGTGTGAGGCCATGTTGGCCAAGATGGAGGAGATGCAGAAGAGGATAACCGAGGGCTCCGGGGAACCCACCATACAACTCCGGACCCGGACGCCATTTACCCCAAAGGTATTGGCGGCCCTGATCCCGGAAAAATACCGAGGGCAACTCATCAAGCCCTACGACGGAAACACTGACCCCCAGGAGCACTACAGCAGGTACCAAAACAGTATGATGATGGTAGGGGCATCGGATGAATATTTGTGCCGTTGGTTCCTCTCCACCTTAGAGGGCCTGACTTACGAATTGTTCAACCGATTGCCCGAGGGCTGCATCGACTCGTGGCAAGAACTCGCCCAGCGATTCTTGACACAATTTGCGGGAAGGCGCCGCACAAGAAAACACTTCTCTCACTTGCTGACAGTGAGGCAAAGGAAAGAGGAGACCCTGCGGGACTTCTTGGAGCATTAGAGAACGAAGGCTGATAAAGTTGATGGCGCAGACGACGGGACCCTCCTGGCCCTCCTCCAAACAGTACTCTGCCCGGAAACTTCTCAAGGAGCCTCATCATCCAACCCCCCCCCCCCGCGATTACATAAGGGCCCTGCAGCGGGGGGGACAGGTACGCCGAAGCCAAGGAGGTGGAAAAATGCCATCACAACCCCGATCAGCAACGCCTTCGGTCAGACGACAAAGGCAACCGGGGGCCGGGGGCTCCCCGTAATCAACCCAAGGATTCGGCACCCCCCGGTGACCGCCCCCGGCATGGCCAAGCCAAACCCGAGGGAGGTTACAAGGGGAACCTGAGGGCTTGGGCACAGCCTGTTCTCTTGGAGCACCCTCGGACACCTTTGACGCACCCCGTCAGCGTCATCCTCGACTTCGCTGAGGAGAGGGGCCTAGTGGAGCGAGATTCTCGCGTACCCCTGGAGGTATATGCCATCAATCCAAACTACCCCTACTGTCGCTTCCACCGGCATCAGGGACACAAAACCGATGACTGCCATCAGCTGAAGACGGCCATCGAAAGGTTGATACAGGCGGGCCATTTGTCCCAATTTGTCCAAGACCCTCAGCAACAGGGCCCCCCTTAACAAGGGCCACCCCGAGGGCACCCTGCGAAAGCAAACGCGTGGGTCAACCCCAACACCATCCCCCTCGGCAAGAAGAGGGAGATTGGGAACCTGGAAGAAGAGGAGGAAGAGTACCCTCGGTACCAAGAAAAGAAGCGCCACATCCTCATGATCACTAGGGGCAATACCGGGGGCGACTTTACCAGTCAACGAAAGAAGTGGGCTCAATCACTTTACGTGGGGAAAGACACTCATATGCCCCCGGTAAAGCGGCTGAGGGAGGAACCCATCACCTTCACTAACGCCGACCTCCCCACACAGGGATGCCCTCGTTATCCGCACGAAAATCAATGACATTATCATCCACAGAACTTACGTTGACACGGGCAGTTCCATCAATGTAATGTATCTCAGCACCTTCAGGGAGCTGCACCTGGAAAGGGGGTCCCTTCGACCCATCAAGACCCCTCTTGCCGGCTTCACCGGTGATACCATCGATTCCGAGGGGGTCATAACCCTCCCGGTACTGTTCAGCGATGGGCTCCATAGAGCCAAGCTCGAAATGGAGTTCGTCATCGTCACCATCGATTGCGCCCACAATATCATCCTCGGCCGGCCGGCCCTCAAGGATCTCGAAGCCATCATCTCCATGAGGCACCTCTGCCTCAAGTTCCCAGCCGAAGGGGGCATCAGCTACTCGAGGGGAAATCAGAAACTTGCCCGCACTTGCTATCTCCATGTGACAAAGAAGGTTAGAAAAACCGAGTTCCGTATTGACACCATCATCGGGGCTATTGAAGAGGAGGAGAAGAGGCCGAGGGCTGAACCGGCCGAGGACGTAGAAGACTTTGCGCTCGATCCGGCCAAGCCGGAGAGAATCGTGAAGATCGGAGCCCAGCTCCCCGAAGGCTTGAGACCGGCATCATCAGCGCCCTCCGCGCCTACTCCGTTGTTTTTGCATGGGGACCGGAGGACATGCCGGGGATGAGCCGAAGGGTCATCACCCACCGCCTCTCGGTGGACCCTTCGGCTAAACCAGTACAACAACGGAGGAGACCCCTCTCGGCTGAGAGGAGGGAATTTGTGAAGAAGGAGGTCACCATACTACTCTCTATCAAGCACATCAAGGAGGTAAAATACCCCTCATGGCTGGCGAACGTAGTCCTCGCACAAAAACCACCCTCATTTCGCATGTGCGTGGACTACACGGATCTCAACAAGGCGTGTCCCATGGACCCCTTTCC